AGCAGGGCCAGCTCACTCACTAGGCGAACTAGGCGATCGCCTAGAGCGGGACGGCCCTTAGGGGCGTCAAACTGAACCCGGCCCCGTACTCTGGAAGTTTCTTGATTATTTGTGTTTTTCATTCTTCCTAAAATGCATTTATTTTTGAAAATTGGTAGACGCACGGGGGGGGGGGGCAGAAGGGATCCTCGCTTGGGGGGCAAAATAAGCTGGGGCTGGCCCTGCATTCCAGCTAATCAGACTATTCAAAGAGACAAACAAGATCAAAGAGACAAACAGACTTAAAACTTGATGGAACTCGCTCCCAGGAATGTCTGGGGTTCAGGAAGCTTGAAACTTTTGCTTCTCTGTAATGTGAGCTATTCAGAATTAGTTCTACCGTGAAGGAAATGTTGAAGGCAGCAGGAGGCGCACACTTAACCACTACACCAAACTGGACTCTAATCTGGGAGAACCAAGTTTGATTCCCCACTCCTCCACTTGCAGCTGCTGGATGACCTTGGGCAAGCCGTAGTTCTGTCAGAGCAGTTCTCGAAAGAGCTCTCTCAGCCCCAACCACCTAAGAGCGTGTCTGTTGTGGGGAGGGGAAGGGAAAGGAGATTATCAGCCACGCTGAGACTCCTTCAGGTAGTGAAGGGCGGGGTATAAATCCAATCTCTTCTTCTTCTTCTTCTTCCCTTTTTCACTCTCTCCCATTCCCTGCCTGATCTCACACTGTTTCTTAGCAGGTGTGCCCCCCCCCCGGCCTCTCACCTTGGCCTCGTACCCGTTCACCACCTCCGTCTTCTCGCTTCTCCAGCCCAAGATACCCGTCTTGTTCCTGGCAAGAAAAAGCACGAGATAAGCAACAGTCCTCTGGGCTGTTGGATGAAGAAATGGGGGAGGAAACCCCACCACTTGAGCCCGCTTTGGGGAGGGCGGGTTATAAATCTAAAAATAAAAATAAATAAAATAAATAAAGGTGAAATGGATGGGGATGCTGGCGGGGGTCCCAAGACTAGAGATGTGAAGGCCCGGGGAAAAACCGGGAAAAAAACGGTTTTCCCTGAAGCCTTTTTGTTTTTTTCTGAAAAATTGGAAAAATTGAGAAAAGAAAAGAAAAAAAATTGATTATGGAACGTTTTATTTTAACATGATGAATAAAATATTTTAAGACAAGGTGTTCAAACATTT